TCAGGGGCGGACGCAGGATTCTGTAGTAGGTGTTGTCGGTCGGTAGTAGGTGGTTGCCGATCCATAGTAGGTGTTACCGGTGGCACATTTTATAATAGAAAAAAGAAAAAATCGAAAATTTTGCATTGCGTCTGGAAAAACTAGGTGTTGCCGGTGAAACCGTTGGCACCATAGTAGATCCGCCATTATATTCTGTCATAATGAAAATGTGTGAGAACAAAAATAAATAATAATTAGCGAGAATGGATGAAAATGACAATATTTTTGTAAGGTTGAACGTATCCGCATTGCTAAACAACTTATTATCTTAGTAATTCTCATAGCATACGGTAATCGCACAATAATTAATTAGAATACTTGAACCTAGCTCTCTCTCTCTCTCTCTCTCTCTCTCTATATATATATATATGTATATATATATATATATATATATATATATATATGTATATATATATATATATATATATGGTGAGGTTCAATAGAGAACCATAATTAACCAAGGAACTAATCGTGAGCGTCGGAAATCATAACGATCAACGGGCAAGGAAATAGATGTACACTTTTACATTGGACGCACACACACCAGATTATACCAAAAAATCCACCATTTACAAAAAACTCACCACTTTTTTTCGTTTAAAATTTTTTTAGGCCATGTTTTTTATCAAAAAAAAAACCGAATATACCGTTGTTCACGATTTTTCGTCATCTTTCCATAGAGATCCATGATAATATATAAAAAACGAACTTTTTTTTTTGAAAAAAACTCACTTCATTTTCTTTGATTAAAAAAGCTAAGGTCTATTTTTTATAGAAAAAAATTAATAAATATATCAAAATTCATATTTTTTGTACTTTTTAAACATAGATTCATATTTATGTTAAAAATAAAAAAAAATAAAATAAAAAAACGATATTTCTGTTCAGATTCATATTGTAAACCTGTTCAGATTCACATTGTGAACCTCCTCAGATTCACAGTGTGCATAATAATAACTCAGATTCACAGTGTGAATCTGAACTGATCGGAGCTTTTTCACATTGTGAATGTTAAAATTTGAAATATTTACAGTTTAGATTCACAGTGTGAATCTACACTGATCGAGGTTTTTTTTTTGTGAACATTCTCAAATTCACAGTGTGCATAATAGTAATTCAGATTCACAATGTGAATCTGAACTGTTCGAGATTTTTCATATTGTGAATATTAAAAATTGAAATATTTACAGTTTAGATTCACAGTGTGAATCTACACTGTTCGAGGTTTTTTTTTTTTAATCGGTGTTGATGTTTATTAATAGAGTACAAAAAATTAATATTTTTGGTATAATTAGTTTTTTTTTATAAAAATAAATTTAAATATTGAAAAAACTAAGAAAATTAAGTGGGTTTTTTTCGAGAAAAAAAAGGTTTTTATATATCATCATGGATCTCTATAGAAAAAGGACGAAAAATCGTGAACAACGGTATATTCGGTTTTTTTTTCGATAAAAAACTTGGCCTAAAAAAATTTAATTGAAAAAAAAGAAGTGGGTTTTGTTATAATCCGGTACATGTGCGTCCATTATAAAATTTTACAACCCTTCCTTTTGCCGTTGATCGCTTTAAATTCCGACGCTTTGGATTGGTTCCTTGGTTCCTTGATTAATAATGGTTCTCTATTGAACTTTTTCATATATATATATATATATATATATATATATATATATATATATATATATATATATAAAAGTTCTTATTTTCTACAATTTTTCCTTTTATTAACGCAACTTCCAACAATTAAATAATAATATTTAATTAATCAAACGTTTTAAAGCCCGTGCAACAATTATATATCCAATTAAGTTTATACATGCATTTTAAGTGATCTTCGTATAACTAGCTAGTTCCTAAATAAAATTATGAGATGAGAGAGTCATATCCTACAAAGTAAGGATTCAAATCATTTTCATGTGATGGTGAAATATATGATGTTTGATTGATAGGATTCCTTTATTGACAATTTACACCCTTGAAAAAGTCATAAGTACCCTTTCACCCCCAGTCCCATCTGAGATCTATCCGGAACCCACCTTGATACTTCTTCAGGCCTTCATCCTTGTGCAATAGATTGTGGATTTAAAAAGATAATCACAATAGACCAAAATGGATACGGTCATTTTGTTCTATGCACTAAATAATCATCAAAATTATACTAGACCTCATTATGGATTCCATAACTACGTATTCTTTGAATGATCCCTGCAACAAAAATAAATAACTAAAAAATAAAAGGTAAAAGTCATATATTGCGAAAAATATAATTGTTTCTTTGGTGAAAACGTGAAGGTTTTTATGGTCAAAACAAGTTTGCAATCCGCAGTGAAACTGTCGCACCAACATTGTCAAGATTAGCATCTTACTTATGATCGTTTTACATTTTGCAAGATCGTAAGCATAAGATGGAATTAGCATCGGAAGATATTGCCAAAATGAACAAGACTCCTAATTTGTTCATAATATCTTGTTTGTTTGGTAGATATTGTAGTTTGATGTTGATTAAGAAATCAGAATCAACTTTAAATTCGTAAACAATAAACATAGGTTCCTCATGACCATGTACAATAAAGGCGCAAGATCACAAAGAGACTAATCTACGTCTCATGATGCTCTATCTAATTCGAGATGAATGTATGAAGTCGTGATGCTCTAGGAGTCTTTCTGTTACCTATAATGCTCGATTTCAAGTTGAATTGACGTATTCCTTTAGGCTCAATGAATATTTTTAGGTCATGCATATGGGATTTCTAAGCAAAATGATGAATTTCCTAGGATTTAGAAGACTAAAAACTTGACTATAGAATAAAGACTAAAGAGGTGGGATTAAATTGGGGTAAGATAAGATTTCAGTGTCAACCATTCTTCATAATCGATCCTATTATGATCGGAATCAAAGAATATTTTAGGATCAATGATTACTTTTAGGCCATGCATATGGGATTTCTAAGCAAAATGACGAATTTCCTAGGGTTTAGAAGACTAAAAACTTGACTATAGAATAAAGACTAAAGAGGTGGGATAAGATTGGGGTAAGATAAGATTTCAGTGTCAACATTTCTTCATAATCGATCCTACTATGATCGGGATCAATGAATATTTTTAGGCTCAATGAATACTTTTAGGCCATGTATATGGTATTTCTTAGCAAAATGACGAATTTCCTAGGGTTTAGAAGACTAAAAATTTGACTATAGAATAAAGAGTAAAGAGTTGGGATAAAATTAGGGTAAGATAAGATTTCAGTGTCAACCCTTTTTCATAATCAATCCTAGTATGATTGGGGTCATTTTTCACTTATAGGATCTTAAGATCTTAAGATCAAGACTAAGATTCTGACAACCATCCATTACACATTCAGTCATTTTTGTGTTAAGTACCAAAAAGGTATTGGTCATTTTTGTAGTAAAAACCTTATGAGTAGAGTTTAGATTAGTTTAGATGTTATTGGGCCAGCCTGTTGTTTTACAAACTGATATTGATAAGAGCAGTAAGTACTAAGTAGCAGCCCCTCAAGATCTAGTGGGTTGTGCCCCTCAAGAACTAGTGGGTTGGGCCCATACATCTCATGAGAATATATTCTTGACTGTATTATAATTTTCCATCATGGTTTCAAAGAAAAAAAAGACCAATATTGATTGTATAATAACTTTCCATCATTATTGAAAAATATACATGGCGTTAGAAAGCGCATTTACGTGTAACCTGTTCCGTTTTGAAACAGCATTATGATTCATTTGAAATTTATCACGACACGACATATATAAATATAATTGTTCGTATGGGGAAAGAATACAGATGTATATATAGTGGTTGCCTGACTCGAATGGCTAAGCCACATAGGATGAAATCTCACATCCAATGTCGACACACAAGCAGACGTAAACGTTTCCTCGCAAGTGGTCCCTGTGTCATATGTTTGTTTCTATTTTCATTAGTAGGCAAGAGTTAATAGCTTCTTTGTTTCCTATAATAGAATGAATTATTATCTAAAATTGAACAAGAGTTTTGAAATGGGCACATGACACGGCAGAAGAATACACACAAACACGGATTACACAGAACCTCTTGTAATAATATATATCAGACACTTGTGGTCATGTCCCTGACAAATATTCCTTCCATTTGTAGATATGGAGTTTAGAAAGTTGGGCTGGAAGAATACCCCACACAAATATATATGTGCATAATTCAGGGCCAGGTATTACATCAATAGCTGCTCAGAACTAGGAAAACAGTCAGCTATCATGAAATTTGGTTGTTGGTTTTGAATTCTTATGCATTAAGCTTTTAATTTTCAAGTGCATGTATGTATCATTTCAAAACTGAATCAAATTTGTATTATTAGTTTTGTTTCTCATAGTGGACCTAGGATATTGTTCAATAGTAGCAATATGGTTGTTTAACTATGAATAATCATTCGGTCATCTAAAAAATAAGAAATACCCATAAGTAATTTTTCCTCATTCATCCTTTTGTTTGCGTTCTTGATATTCTTATGATAGTTAAAATGTATTACATCATATTCTCAAACTCACAGGTTTTCAACAAGTAATCTTTATTCTTTGTTGTTCTTTTACAAAATACTTGATCCACAAACGATAACCACTCTGCTCTAAGTGGAATCAACCCTGCTTACTCTAATCTACTTAGGATTGTAGATTTGTAGGTTATTTATGACTTCTGAATGTGGCTTGTTCGAATAAAGCTTTTGTTTAACATATTTTCCAACTTCTTCATAACCCATATCGATGTTGATCGTTAGGCTATTTCCTAGTTTCTCTATTTAGGTAGTGACAAAACGTAATCTAACAAAAAAAAAAATAATAAATCAATTTGCACCAAAATCAAAAAATAGTTTTGGACAATACCACACTCAAAACAAATTTTTAATTAATAAAAAAGTAGTTTAAATATGCTTCTAAAACATGTTTTTAAAAATAACATATATTTAGAAAATGTAATCCAGTCATATTTCATTCATAAAAGGTGTTAAATGTATTACAAAAGTGCAGCTTACATGCTACCTTTTTCATCCATCCTATTACAATAGATCGTAATGCTAGCATGCTACAATACAAACTTCCCTATTACATACTATTGCCACTAATAATTGAAGACTTCATTGAGGAATATTTTAGGTTTAATCAAAAGAGCGACTAATGAGAGGACTTCTACTATTCTAATTTCCTTTAATCATATTCCTCTTCCTCAGGTCTGTGTTCCCATTACTAGAAAATTTGAATAGAATGCAGAAGGTGAAACATATGTTTGATAAGGACAACTGACCATGAAACAAAGGCAAATGTTTACAATTTTTGTCTAACTCATATCAGTCAGTCACAGTCGTAGTCTTACAAGTCATGAACAGAAAAGCCTTGAAAACAGGTAGCTGTGGCACCCTTGCACTGTATCAAGCAACGGACTCGTTTGACACGCTTCATCCGCTTCCCGGTTCTTCCACTTCTTCAAAACCTCCTCGGCAACCACCGCGACCTGGTGTTGCAACACGGCGGCACCAAGCGGCCCCACCAGGTTCAGCCTGGTTGCCGCCGATATAACATCTCTCATCGTCACAAACAAATACGCCCTCTGAGCCGTTTCCCCATCCAACCCAATCAACCCACAAACCACCCCAAAAACCGGGGCATGGTGGAACCACACATTCCGACCGCTTAACCCCACGTTTCTCATCATCTTCAGAGCTGGAATCTCAGAGAAAACCGAAGCCGATACCCTCATCAATGCCGATCCCTGTGAAACCGATGCCTTTCGGCTCACTTCGTTTGTTAGTGTAGCGTCTAAAATGGCGTCGAGATGTTGCCACGTGTCAACATCTGGCGATATTGTGGCGGAGTAGACGAAAGGAAGGAGGAGACTTGCGGTGTTCTCGAGGACGTGGATTACGTGTGTTTCAAGGTCTTCAGGGTGGGAGACTATGCGCGATTGCATTCCGGCCTCGAGACCAAAGGAATGGGCGAATCCTCCCGTTGGGAGAATGGAATCGAGTAACTGCCATTTGCTCCATTGGAGAAGAGGATCTGATGGGAGGCGAGTGGTCCCATTATTTGCTTCTACTTTATTTTCATTCATTACGATACATAAATCGAGAGTCTGGATAAATGATGTTGAAAAATAGTGGGTTAAATGCAAGATATAGCAATGTACTTTCATTAATTTGTTTATTACAGCATCATACTTTCATTTGTTCCTACGTCGGTGAAAAATCTACATGAGTATTGCAAAGTGATCCAAATACAAAGCAAATTTTCACCATTATAAATGGGTAGTTTTTTTAAGTAAAATGTATTGGTGAGAAATATATATATATATATATATATATATATAATATATATATATATATATATATTAAAAGTACAATGCTAGAATTGGGACATTTTTAAACGACAATATCTTAATTGGAGAATAAAATTAAAAGTACAATGTTGGAATAGACTTTAGATGAAAGTATGGTGTTACCATAAACAAATATATGAAAGCACGTTGCTATTTCTTGCATTTAGCACAAATGACAAAACAATGCATCATGGAGTATAAATTAGAAAGAACTCAAACCTACATTACAAAGTTAGAGTTATATTCTACTGGTAAATCTTCTTCTTAAAACATTAGATAGGAATCATTGGGCAAATAAGAACCCATAAATACATATTTGATTAAAAAAAAAAAACACAATCAAGAAAATTCCATCTAAGCCAAGAGAAACTGATTGATGAACCGAGGTTCAGAGAGATTGATTGATCTATGCTTAATTCATTGACTAGCTAAAGTTAAAGAGGAATTACCAACATGTTTGGTGTTTTTTCCGTGCCATTTGTTGGTTTTCTCCGCTTCTTGCCCAAATTAGTCAGTCATAATTCCAAAATCGGAAAAAAAAAAACCTAATTCCCGGCTACATCAATGTGAATCAATCAGACAAACAAATTACGCCTTCAATCAAACAGGAATTATTAGATCCATATATCCTTAAAATGTCTAACTTCTAGGTAATCAGATTTAAATTCTCAAAACAGCAGTTAAAAAACAAAACAACATACAGAAAGGATGGAGAGAGATAAAGACTTGAAAATTGTTTGAACGGAGAAGGATTGGCCTTACCGGAATCCTCTGGCGACTGCAGTGAACGATGGCGGGATGCCGGCGAGAAGGAAAGCCGATTAAAAAGTTCAGGGAGCAGAGGCGGCGTGACGGGTGGAAGAGGACAAGAGTGAATGGAAATTATTAGTGTTTTGTTTGGTTGTGAAATTTTTTTTAGTTTTTTATGAAAACTAGGACCTGTAATCAAAGGCGGATTACGCAATGTCAATAGGGAACGATAAAAGGAGTGAGCTCTCGCTAATTTCGCTGACATGGAATGAATGCGAATTTTTTATTTAGGGTTCCTGGTTTCGGTTGTTTAATTGCAAGCTTTGATGCCCGAATATATTCTAAGTAACAATAACAGTAAATGACCATTTTAGCCTTTTCATCATATTCATATGGGAAGTTTTGCATGTTTAGAATTGACAAAAGAATTAGAAACTTTTATGTGATAACGATTACAACATTTTTGTAAGAGAACGTGAGGCTTTGAGGGCATTTTGGTCATCTTCATTCCCAGGACAAGAGTTGCATGGTTTGATATCATATTATTAACTATTTGTGATGTAATTACTAAATAAATTGGAAAAAAAACATTATAACTTCATTGCTTAAATAAGTGTTTTACCATGTTATTAACTACTTGTGATGTAATTAATTGCCAATGATATATGATTATATGTTATAAATGACACGAGTTTTACATTTATGTTTTAAAAATCATACAGAGAATGGCTTTGCAAAAAAAAAAAGCATGTTCTCCAAGGAGATGAATCCAATTCCCCTGAAATCTGTTGATGGATCTTAAATGCCCTCGATGCTGCACACCACCAACAAAAAAGAAATAATGAAATATCTACCTATTTCTTATTTGACTTGGCATGCGATCCTAGCAATCATTCTGTTAAGTGAATGCCCCTTCCTCCATGGATTTTGTTCCTTTGATTTCTGCCTCATCTTTTTTCTTTGTCCTAACTTCTGCAAATACACATCCAATCCAATGTGAAATTTGTCCGCTGACCTTGAACTAATATGGTAAACGGCCTTTGTTGATTGAGTCATCGACCTTTGCACCCAGAAATCGAAATACTAAGTTCTTGATCAAGAAGGCATCGGAAACGTCAAGCCCAGAAATCGAAATCCTAAATTCTTGATCGAGAAGGCTTTGGAAATGTCAATCTTATAGAGTCAGAAAGGTAGAAAGAGGGCAAAATAAAAATAAAAAATGGAATAGAAATCAAAATCAATTACAAGAGCACAGATGTTTGTTGACGGTTGGAGGCGGCGATATTGTTGGCGACAGAAAGCGAAATACTAAGTTCTTGATCGAGAAGGCGTCGGAAACGTCAAACCCATAAATCGAAATTCTAAATTCTTGATCGAGAAGGCTTAGGAAACGTCAAGCCCATAGAGTCAGAAAGGAAGAAACAGAGGAGTGCAAATAATTTGGCAAAACATATGAAACCGATGACGGTGGGAATATTGGATTAACTAAGAAGCAGGATGGAAACATAGAAGGACGACCATGTGAATATATACAAAGTAGTGTGTTCGAAATCGTTAATTGATAAAGAATGATGGAAAATATCAATATATACGAAGTAGTGTGTTCGAAATCGTTAATTGGTACAGATATCTTTAGTGGCATGTGAACTTTTTTTCTTTTTCTTTTTTTTTTTTCCAAAATTAGGTCTTTTTTTGAATTGTTGAACTGCAAAAAAGGACGTCATTTGTGCAAATCAGTAAAAAAAAACTGTAATTTTTGAAGAGAAAAAAACAATGTATTGTCATGTCAAGTTAACTGCGAAAAATAAAGATCGTACTGCGAAATTCATAATCTGTACTACGAAAATCCTTACAATGTAGATCTAGTTAACTTATAAGAAAGTTTTTGATAAAACACAATCTATATCTATTTGTCGGATTTTTTTGAGCTAACTTTTATACCTTTTTGTCTAATTTCACTAGAAAAATTTCCAACTTACCATTTCTGTTTTGTTAACAAAACTTGAGTTTCAACATTCTAGATGGGTATTTTATTGTTGTTTGTATCGGTAGTTCATAACCGTTTGTAAAAAATATTTATAGGATCTCTTCTAAATGACTCCAGATCATGAATTATAAATTTTCCAAAAATATTGTTTGTATCGGTATTTTATTATTGTTTGTATCGGTAGTTCGTAACTGTTTGTAAAAAACATTTATAGGATCTCTTCTAAATGACTCCAGATCATGAATTATAAATTTTCCAAAAATATTATTTATTGATATTTAATGTAAAAACTCAATATTACATTTCTTTCATTTCTAACTTCACTTATGCATTCATTACATCAACAAAACTTATATAACATCATAATAACTTATAAGATGTCTTAATAACTATTTTTCCATTTTTCAATATAAAGACCAAAATACCATTTTCTTCACAAACATAATGCACACAACTTTTACACCAACTTTTAAAGCTCCTATTTGCACACTTTAAAAGCTACAATTTACACACCTCAACCACTATGACACAAGAAAGAGAAGCTTTGATTTTCATTTTCTTCTAAATTTCAACCCAACAGATATGGATTAGTGTCTAAAGTTAAAGGGGTAAATAGATCTCTAAAATTCTAGGTCACTTGTTTAACCCTGGTTTTTAACGATTCCATGTTACTGATTCAACCAATTTTTTGAGAAAATCGACCGATTTAGTATGGATCAGAAATAGCACAAAGTCGATCATGATTGACTTGTTCTCTTCACCGAGTCACAATCCAACCAGTTTGACCGGACCGGCATGGTTAACCTGATTTTTAAACATCTCTTTAAATATGGTCATTTTATCAAAATCTCAAAAACATTTGCATACTAAAATTTTAAAAATTGATTACATATTAAAAATGGCAAATGATACGAAAGTCACTATGTTATCAGTTTTTCGATTTTGACATTCCATATTTTTCCAAATGGAACATCACTTTATCAATTTTTTGGAACATCACTTTATCAATTTTTTTCCAAATCGAACATCACTTCATCGAGTTATTTCAAATTTTTAATGTTAACCAAAGAATTGTGTATGTCTAGGTTAATTATTATTATTATTAAAAATAAAAAATAAAAAAAATAAAAAATAAAAAAAATAAAAAAAAACTCTTTTCTATACTTCTAAAGAGGATATGGAAGCAACCATTGACCAAATAAAGTCAGCTTTACTACTTTTCTGAGGGAAAATGACATTTTAGGGTAATAAAGTCTTCTACAAGTATTCATTTGGTCATCTTTCTTTTTTATTTTTGTACTCTATTTACCATTGATCTTGTTGTAGATGTTCAAAAGATACCATTATTACCGGGTATTGAAGGTTTCCGACGAGTATGTCACTCCGGTCGTCTTCTCCGGCGAGTTTCCGGCCAAATGCTTTTAGCAACAATTTCCGATCTACAAACGATTTCAAGAACACCCACTTCCATCTGTTCGTTTGTTTCTGTGACCGATTTTAGTTTTCATGTTCTTTGTTCATGTTTAATTTTTGGGTTCATGTTCAAGAACACACAAAAAATGATCGTGTGTGCTCATCAGTGAGTTTGAATGCCAAGAAAGCGAATGATTGAAAGTGTGTGTCGGATCTGAGAGGTGTTCATCTTCATCATGTCCAACAAAACCCATAAATGCAACCCTTGAAATCGAAGGTTTCAGTTCTTTGGGTTTGAGTTCCAGAAATAAAAACAGATGAAGAGCTTCAGGTTTTGGGTTTGAAATCGATTAACACAACACATTTGGAATCGTTTTCTGGGTAAGAGCTTCAAGAAATTAAGATCTTCATTTCTTCGGTTCTTGAGTCGTGAGTTCCAAAAATAAACGAACCCTAGATTTAAGGGATTTTGATTTTCAAGTTTTGGGTTTGGATCTAGATTCTTGTGAGTTCTTCAACCCTTGGTTTTGAAATCGATTTTAAGAAGCACACCACAAAAAAATCTAGATTTTAGATTTGTGTATATGTGTGTTTGTTCAAATTGCCCATAAAATTCATAGTGTTCATCGGAAATTTTATGTTTGGCCGGAAAATTCATAGGCTTACCGGAAAATTAATTTTGACCGGCTAAACTTATGTTAGCCGGTTATAATGGTATATTAAGACACAACAACAAGTTAAATGGAATACAAAAAAAAAAAAAAAAAAAAAAAAAAAAAAAAAAAAAAAAAAAAGTGACCAAATGAATACTTGTTGAAGACTTTATTACCTTAAAAGGTCATTTTCCCTTTTCTGACCATTAGGCCTGTCCGGTCTCATATGAACCTGCCCGGCTCGGTGTTGTAAGTGAAAAAATATGGAAAATGCTATTTTCTTTACCTATATGGACATTGTATTTTGCTCCCACAATATCGACAAAACACAAAAAATGAGTGTCTTTTTTTTTTTAAATGTACCGGAAGTGCCTAACACTAGAAATCAAGCAAACTAATATGAAGTTACAATTTTGAAGTGTTTTGTGCTCTTGCTTTTTATTTTAACTTCTAAATTTATAAATCAAAACCCTAATCTCTTTCTCAATATCTATCATAACATTAAATGTAAGGTTACATGATAAAAAAAAGATCAAATCGATCCATACGCTAAATGATTATAAAAACCATATCAAAACAATAAAATAGTTTGAATAACACCATTTGCATGCATTTGTAGATCAAAAATAACCCAAATAGATCCATCTAAAAGTAAATTGGTAGAAATATTGATTATGTTACTTGTGGATCATATCAAGAACAACAATGCAACCATGGCCAAAATTCCCATTTTACAAGTGCAAATTGGTGTTGTCAAAACCATAAACAAACTATTTAGTATTTGCGAGGTGGTTTTTGAGTTGGCAGCAATCCAAAACGTTTCTTCAAAAGAACTCTTTGCCTTGAGAACTTATCATCAGGTGAAAACCGAGCTGCAGATAAAAGGAAAAAAATAAATGAGGGCAAACTTGTAATAAGTTAAGACTTATCAGGGAAAGCCATTTTCTTTTATTTTCTCTATTAAGTCGTTCTTTATGCATTAAGTAAAAAATAAACACCTATATATGGCTTTCCTTATTAAGTTATTATGTCCTCATTAAGAACTTGTACATATAATAAATGAAAAACACACCAGGATGAGCAGACTGCGTGGCAAGTCCAAGTGGTGACTCTTTCTGCACACACCAAAAAAAAAAAGATCAAGCAATTGCTAAAATAACAAGACCAAAAGCTTCTTCACTCATTTATGGAATTAAGGTGCAAATACGTATTTCAGATCAATGAACAATCAGGTTTATTGACAGAATGAAGTCAATATCACCAAATATAGCAAGGCCCTACTAGTAACACAAGCTCCTGCTACAAGGCCTCATGGAAAAGAATCATGGCAACTCCAGAAAAAAGAATAAAGAATGCCAAGAAGACAAAATATTACAAATTGTTGCAAACTTTTCAAGTACACGAATGCCTAAAATGGACGAACCTTGGTGGTGTAAACTTTGTCACCATTTTCGTTTATGTAAAACTGGAGATACATTTTGATTGAGTATTCTGCAAGAAGCGCAAAAGCATGATTAGACTCACATATACACAATTACACATGAAGTAAGAACATCAGTTATGGATCCAGGGTGAGAAGCAATCAATTTTACCCTCACAAACAAAATAGCAGGTATCCTTAGAATCTTAAATTAGCAACAATTTAGGCCACTTCTATGATTGTTTATGTATCTACAACAACGTTGAAAAATCAAAGCGCTTTTATCGGAAAAGAGCGAACCAGAAATCAAAAGGATGAATGAATTATATGGGTAAAGAAGAAGTTTCGGAGAAGGGTGAAGAAAGTACCTTGATTAGCAGGAGAAGAACGGCGACTGTCAGATAAAGTCTTCCGATGATCGACGACGGCGAAGAATACTTAGGGTTTATCTCTGGGTTTTAGGGCTTTATATTATCCACTCGCGGCAATGATATTATGAAATTTGACAGAATGAATCCTTAACTTAGTATTAACTGTATTATTTCTCCTTGTACTTTGGAAAAATGGACGAGTTAAATCAACAAAATTTTAGGAAGTCAAAATTCACATATCAGTTTCTTTCGGTGCACCGAAAAGGTTTTTAGTCTAGCGGTAAAAAATGACTCTCTTAATTAAGAAGTCATGGGTTCTAATCTCATTGGAGACAGGTGGTAATTTAAAACTAGATTAGTTTGTCGTTCCAAAAAAAAAAATCTCGGTATACAACAGTTTCTCTCCATACACAACAATATATGTTTTATAAAGTAACTTTTTATTTATTTTTACGGATAGATCTTGTGTTTCATTTTCTTACATGGTTGGATCTTATGTTTCAGTCACTAACTTTTTATTTTGACACAGATGGAGCTTACTATTTTAAACAAATTAATTCCGTTTTGGATTTGGGACTATATTTTCCCTGTTTTTTTAACTTAAAAAAATCTTGCAAATTTAAAATCAAATGATTTTCTATGTTTTCCTAAAAACTACTCATGCAATGGGTGTTTCAGCCTTCCAGCTCTAAGTATGAAGATATCATTCATGATATATATATATATATATATATATATATATATATATATATATATATATATATATATATATATATATATAACGGTCATTGATACAAGGGAAAAAAGTCGAAATACTTCCAACTATCTATACCTTTGTCCATATTAGCGAGGAGCTTATCTCCCAAACAAGTTCTCTTCTCAGACAAAGAGGACTTTTAACAGAATGTCAGATGATCGTGAATTCTTTGTGTTAAAACATTGTGATCTTTCCAAACAAGGCCCAACTGAGGGGAGTCCCAAGTTGAATGAAGATGATTCGACTAATTCTAAAAAGACAAGACTCCGATCTGTTGGAAGGCTTTTCGGTTTTCTTCCATTGATATGTTTATTATTGTTATGATTGGATCGAAGCCCTAGTTATGTCTACTCAACCAACAAAGCTTCCCGAGTTCAAGTTTTGATATGCAGGAACAATAAATAATAAATAATTAAATAATTAAAAAAAAAAAAAAAAAAACAAGTAAAGAAAGTGTTGGCTCAATATTGTCAGCTTTTATTTTTAAGGAGTTAACTGGAAGAAACAGCATCCTACATTCATTTCTTCCTATTACCGCTTTGTACTTTGAGAAATCTACTTAATTATGGCAATGTCATCTAAATACATATAATGTCATAATAAAAAATATATGAAAGTACAATGCTATAATCAGGTAGAGTTTTCAAAGTACATTGCATTAATAAGAAAAAAAACACAATTACAATGCCAGCTCCTTTTGAAAGTTTAAATGTAAGAAATAATAACAGTATCATTTCATCTGTACAACTGACTGGGTAGATTTTGAAATAAATGAAAGTACAATGCTATAATTGGGTACATTTTTTAAAGTAAAAAAAATGGAAGTACAATGCTTTAATAGAACACACTTTGCTGCATTTTAACAAGTCGAGTGCAGGAAACAGCAAAGTACTTTCGTTGATTTGTTTATTATAGCATCCTACTTTCATTTCTCCACTGATTTGTTTATTATATCAACCCAACAATCTTGGTAATATATCATTATGAAGTATTTTGGTAAATATGTTTTTAAAACTATAAGCTATACGAAGGAAAGATTTAGGATATGCTAAAAGACTCATGATTCAACAAGATTACAACAAGAAAGGGCCAAGAAAACCTCAAGATTGTTAAAATTATGAGTGGTATATTGATAAATGTTACTGCTTCTTCTTTTTTTATTCCATATATCAAATTAAGCAGATACTATCTATCTCTATGATGTCAAACTGATTGGCCTAACACTTTCAGCTAAAAAATTAAATTACAAAAATGGTGAAAAGATTTACAATCTAATTAACGAGCATTCACTTAGTTAGCTTCTGATAATCTTGTGCGTATCGACTCTGGGCTTGATATCTTGTTAACACTGCATTTGAAAGAAAATTTGTTAACTTTAAAAATGATTTAAAGGGAAACAATTGAAACTAATACTATTATATTTTGTTGGGTTTTACCAGAAGAGAAGATCACCACTGGATGCCATTTTCTGATGAATCCATTCAGGTGCTAGTTCTTGCAACAACATGAGTTGTTCCTCAACTTCTCCTGTAGGTAAAATTAGAATTAGATTTGGGCTTTTATAGTGACGAAATTGATAGGATATGTATATATACCATGATCATGAATGAAGACTTACTTCTATCAACAATTTCCAAACGGCATGAGATTATTGTGTGTATGAGCTCCTCTTTTGTGATGACTGAGCGTTTTTGAAAGATAAACAAAAGAGAGTCAAAAAGCTTGGGTAGCCCTGCAATCATTTGTTTCCTCCATTTAGCATGTGAGATTGCTGGATTATTCTCCTCCTTTGCTTTTCGTTCCTTTTCTTTAATCTGAAAAGATTCAACTCATCAAATACCAAAAAACATCCATAAAACTGAAGAAACGAAATGAAAAAAGCAACATAAACATACGGATGCAAACAGATCCCCTGAAAGAATATCACAAAGACCATCATCAAAAGAAGATGCAATTTTGACAGGAGGCGTTTTATTCTTCACAGGAGTCTCAAACAATCTTCTAACACGTCTAGTTAACTTGTTGGGCACTGATTTGGTAGGAGACATAATTGAATCTTCTTCATCAGGAGTAACTAAACTCCTTACTGGCATTCGTAAGGCTTGTGCAGGTGTAGCACTCATTGGAGTAGAAAAAAGCTTGGCAGGAGTTCCATCAATGGAAGAAAGATTTCCTTTCTTTGAAAAGCTCTTAATTGGAGTTTCAGGTAAGTTTGAGCACTTTTGAACTAGAGATGGAGCAACGGATACACAAGCTACTTTGGCGGAGCTATTGTCAGAAACCTGTTTTGAGAAGCGTCTCTTGAAAGACTGAGGCATATGAGATGCTACCAATGGCTGATGTTGAGAGGCTGTATCCTGAACTGAGCCTAAATTGGGATTTTTCATTGCATTTGAAGATGGCACACAGCTCGATTGATTGAATGGTTCAGGTAACATCTCCTCTGGAACTTCATCTCCCTAAATGAAAAGAAAAATTATTAATCACACGATGATGCATAAAAAACCTAATTCAGAGTGAAATAGTACGATGCAATAAATATCAATACCTCGGGATTGGATTTATAGTAGCTCACAAGCCTGGATCGAAACAATTTCCTCATCAGTATGTTCTTGCTCTCTGATTTTAGCTTTTCATCATCCTGAATGATGTTGAAATTCAAAGTCACGTCAAGTTCTGGTTTCATGCAACTGGTTCGTTCATCGCGGACAAGAATCTTCTTTATCTCAATCCCCTCAGGCAAAATAAACTTGAGCTGAGCTAGATGACTATAAGTGAACCTCCTGTACAATCAAATATGGCCGAAAAACAAATTAGAAAACCCGCCCCCAATACCATCTAACAAATTAAGCGTTTTGAATGAATGAATCCGTATACCTGTCTGTTAAACTCTCCACCGCACGGCTAATGCTTGTAAACGTCGACATAGATCCTTTCAATCCAAGAATTCGAATAGAAGATTGCAGGCTATTAAAGAACTCATCCAATATTTCGTAACTAAACACAAGTTATATTCGAATATCATCAGCATTTTATTCAAATAGAGTAGACACATTTCGATAGAGACCAGTATAAGAAACGGGGAAACGATTTGTACCTTTTTGGAAGGGCTTTGGGTGTCTTTGGCTTCGTGATTAGGTTTTTGCTTGGGGTAACGGATGATGTTAACGGGTCAGAGGAAACAGAAGGTTTCAGATCTGACTTTCGGAAGTGCTTGGCCGCTTCCCTGACTTGACTCACTGATCGCAATGCTTGGCGGCGGGTGAGAGATCTTCGAGGCGGTTGTGTAGGCGTTGCAGGAGTCGTGGTGCTCAACGGCATCTGATCTGGTGCTCCATCTGCTTCGTCGGCGGAATGTTGTTTGCCGACGGAGGATCGGAGGACTTTCTTCGATTTGAACGAGTCGAACGGTGTAGAAGAAGCTCCAATGGAATCCATTTGAACAGAGAGTGTATTTGTGTGTGTTGTTATGAGAAATGCGGTGAAGATTGTGACAGTGGAGATCGTTAGCAAAGTAATAGGTTTTCTTTTGGCGCGAATGACTATATGGAAGCTGATCAACAAGACAGCGTTCGCGCCAAAATCATACGTGGACGCGGGAGGGGAGGCGTCTGTAATTCCTTATGTTTATTTTTACACCCTCAACTTTACAGTTTTGAAATCTTAAATCCAAAAATTAAAATTTCGTTTACTTATGTCCAAAAGTTCTCTTATTAGTTTTCATTGCTAAAACAAAATCAGCTTTTCACCCACCAACTCTTAACTATTTTATTATTTAGAGCACTAGTTAAGTTGATGTTTCTTTATTTGCTTCCAAAAAGAATCAATTTTCATTTTATATGCTAAATTGAATAATACTTTGATTTCTAATTTTGAATGACTTTAAATTTTCAAATACAGATTTTGTTAAATTAGGTTTAAAATTATCTTGTTTTATATGCTAATCTTATCAACAACCGATATATCAAGTAAGCATGAAATTTTATCGTGCTTTAAGATAAATTTATCAACAAAATAAATAAAATTGCATTAATAGATAAACAAAATGAAAATACCGGACTATATTCTTTTTGATGATTCTTGTATCAATAACGAATTCTCAAAATGTTTGAGCCTTTTCTCTTCAAAGCTTTGACAGTTCTATCACGATCACTCTAAATAGTTTTGGTTGTGTGAATGAAGACGCCTACAAAAACATTAGACAAACAATCAAGAAACATAATTTTATTAGGGTTTCAAATGTATAGAAAACATATATTTATACATTGTTATATACTCTTGAATTATGACCGTTGTTGTAGTTCAAATTCTGATTAGGTATAATATTTAATAATTAGCCGTTAGTCCATTTAGGATAACCTCTAACTTATAACCCATTGGGCCAAGATACATGCAGATGACTATAGAGGATTACGAAGCAACACAAATTAATTATCATTCTTACGTCGTCATCTTGGTTGTAAAATCAAAGTCTAGAGCGAGAATGTGTTGGATGAAAAAAAGTTAAAATCAATGTTTTAAAAACTAGTTTTTTAGTTGAACCGGTATCACGACCGGTTTCCGGTTTAACTGGTTCGACCGTTGAGTAACCGGTTTCTATAATTTTCATCTTTTTTCGTATTTTTCTACACATATATACATACATAAATCAAAAATTTGATGTCCACAACTTCAAACATTAAAATACACATCAAAACAAGTTGTAGATCAATCTAAATACATTAAAATAATTCATAACCATAAGTTTTACATCAATTCACGTGCATTAAAAAAAAGTCCTAGATGAATATAAACGCATCAAAAAACTTCATAACATTTATCATGTGCTTTTATTAAGAAAAAATTTAATAAATGTGAAAAAACTACCAAAGTTTATTATGCAAAAGGTTTCAATTTCATTTGATTTTATTCAATTTAACTTGTTTCCGGTTTAATTGAACCGGTTCAACCGGATTTTTGTAAAAACCGGTCGGTTCAATACAGTTCAAAAATAGACATAAAACATTGTTTTTATTCAATTTAACTTGTTGAACCGTTCCCTTCCCTGATTTCTGGTCAAACCGGTTTTTAAAACATTGGTTAAAATGCTTCTTGGATTGAAATAAAAATACGGCAAAAATAGGGTTATTGCCCTACATGCTGTATGAAATATCAATAAATCATAAATCACAAAAGTTTTACATAAACGTAACGGGTAAACGAGCAGCAAGCTGTATCGCAACTTCATTTTGGATGACAAACTAATTCTTTTAAAAACAACATTCATATATATTGGGGTCATAACATTACTATGCATGACCCGTTGGACTTTATTGAGGAGCTCTACAACATTTGGCGCAAAGAAATCGAAAGTATCATATGTAAAAGGTATAAACGTGTGTTGATTTTCCATGCACATTTTCTCGTGTTTTGCCACTTTGCATAAGACGGCTTTTAAAGCAACTTGCCCAACAGTGAAAACCTCACTTCCCAAGCCCACAAGAAAGGAAACCCTTGTTACATCCATACATGTGTGCTTCCCTCCAGCCCAACCAAAAACTAAAACATCAATTGGTCTAAGTGTTGTTCTTCCGACCAACGGATCAGTCAGAAAGTTCATAGGTGTCTCTATCTTGGTAGAAACCTTGACGCGCCTAAATATGTCGAAAAGAACATCCCTAACCAGATCATGTCAGTACTTGAAACTCGAGAGCTCTCTATAATGAACTACGTGCTATCCAAATGAGTCCAAGCATGTCTTGCGACAAACATGACATGTCTCATCAACCGAAAATAAAGGGATCTGAAGACGATACTTAAGGATAGCACGATACTCCACTGGCGACATAAGTTGGCCAAGACCATCAATAGGAATAATCATAATAAAATCATAAGCATTTGGTGCCCTTATAGACTCGAAAACTGCTTTCTTCCTATTAGTCATGTCAAAGTGAACTTCCATGTCTTAGACAATTTTACTAAAAAGGGCATTCGCCAATGAATATTGGGCTTTTAGAGGGGAGATGTTCTTATTAGTGAAATTGTTGAAGTCAAAACCCAAAATTGTATCACGAAGACAGGCCAAACCGCCAAAGCACAAACATAATCGGAATTCATACCACATATGCCGCTATCTTGTAAGATGTGGTCTTGTAACATCCACGATTGATCTTGTGAGGTCACAAAAGCATAGGAGGAAGCCTATGCCGGTAAGAACAACCCCAAGCCATCAAACCTAATTGGTAAAGAAGCAAATCGCCATTGAATGCCCCAAAGAAAGGTGTAACGTCCCAAATTCCATAATATTTTTTTTTCATTTTTAAAATAAAATAAACACTCATTCTTATAAAGTTACATTCAAGTCAAACCAATTGTTCATAAACCATAATTCAAAATCAGAGTTATAAGGAACACAATGTGGAATCACAAATCATAAAATTGTTAATGTGTGTACAGTCTCGCCTTTACAATCTGATAAGTAACTGAAAAACATTTAGTCAACAACCATAAACACAAAGCTTAGTGAGTTCCCTAAAATATCACATACAACACAACATAATAACTAATTATGGGTTATCAGCAACCTTGTGACTATCAACAGTCATGAGGACTATCAACAGTCATAAATATCACATACACAACAATATAAACAACTATGGTTATCAACAACCATGGGGCTTTCAATAGTCCTATGGGCTCATAACAGCCATGTGGGTTATCAACAACCCTGCAGACTATTAGCAGTTCCGAAGTCATCAGTAATCGCAATGATACATATAAAAACAATCAGCAAATAAGACTCAGTGAGTTTAGCATGCACACCACTATGACATAGGTAATATAGTGAGGATACCTAAATGAAGAGCTAAAATCCACTACTCAAAGTCCCATAGAATCATCAACACAAACCTCCTAAATCAATCACAAGCTAAACCTAAAAATATAGCTCAACACCTCTCTACATGTAACACCGTAAATTTTCAAATAAATTTTTCATTTAAAAATCGCATAATTCTCATAACACATTTCACGAAAATCTCATTTATTTAATTTACAAACCACAACTCCATAATTGTTTGATTCAAATCCAGGATCCTCAAAACATAACTCTTTCCCTGGTGTGTACAATCAAGCCGGTGCCTTCCCGCGATCCTCTGAGGTACCTGAAACACATAACACATAACACGGTAAGCACGAAGCTTAGTGAGTTCCCCAAAATACCACATACAACACTTTAGCCACTCGAGGCTATAACTATGTAAGAACTTTCGGTAAATGTGTCCCAGTGGGACCCTCCGGTCCCACAACTTTGATGGACCTTCTGGTCCTAACTCTGTGGACCCTCTGGTCCTAACTCTGTGGACCCTCCGGTCCTAACTTTGTAAACTCTGAATAACACATAGCATAAATCACACAGACATAATGCAATAATATCACAGTACTCAAATAAACATATAAGACCCTCTGGTCACAAATGCATACCACTCTAGGTATAGTATAGTGAGAAGACTCACCTTGCGAACAAGCAAGCAAATATCCTCGAACTCGAATCTCGAACAAGCCACCGCCTAACACATAGGGTAAATATCTCTAATTAATACTCGATTCTCGACTCTAAGTAACCACATGTTACCCTTTTCTCTCTAACTCTCGGATTGGGTAAAAGACCATTTTACCCCTCCATGGTCTCCATTACTCATGTTGACCAAACCCTAAAGTCACCAAAAGTCAAACTCGAGTCAACAGTCCATGTTTGACCCGACTCGCCGAGTGCATCTATATGACTCGTCGGGTCCCTTCATTTCCTCAGAAGCCTCGTGAAGGTCCATCTCAACTCGTCGAGTTGACCCCCAACTCGCCGAGTTATCGCGTGATCAAGCTCATCGGGACAAACCCTAGCCGACTCGTCGAGTCAGCTCATTGACTCGGCGAGTCTATTCAGTCCACTTCCTCTTCCAGACGTTTTAAGTCAGATCTAGGTCCCAATCCCTAGATCTAACCTCACTAAGCTCAAAAGTCACGTAAAGCTTGCAGCTTTCCGTTCATGCATGGCACTTTGGCTTAGAATGCCAAATCAAGACTCTAGCAAGGTTTAGATGCACAAGATCTTGCCTCTAGCTCAATAAAGTTTGGGTCTTTAGACTCACAAAGTCTCCTATAGTCCAGATATGAGGTTTCCAACCTCAAACCATGCTCATTTAACTCAAAGGTACAAAAGAGTGGGGAAAAGCCCTAAAACTCTTAAGATGAGATCTAGCAAAAGAAATGAACAAGATGAGAACTTTGTACCTCCACCCAGCAGCTAATGCACTCAAAATCACAGATCTACAGCCCTCCTTTGATCCAAATCACGTAGCTCTTCTATCTCCTTCGAAGAAGTGCACAAGAATGCACCAAAATAGCCACTCATTCTCTTCACAATGGATGGAACGGGTTTAGGGTTTCTCTCAGGCTCTCAAATGACAAATGGTGGCGGAAATGAGGGCTTACTGCCCCTTAAATAGGTCACAACCCCGGGAATTT